ATGACCGGAAGCAATCGATCTGATGGAAGAGACGATGGCGGCGTCGCCGATGTCGAAGTCAATCAATCTGACTCGGCGACGATTCTCTACTCGTCGGGCACTACCGGACGAGTGAAAGGCGTCATACTAACTCACCGGAACCTCATTGTGGTGAACTCTGCGCCTCGTGGTCTCCACCCTATGGTCGACCAAGGAGAGATGGAGCCACATCCCGCCTCTCTGTGTCTGTTACCTCTGTTCCATGTTTACGGCTTCGTCATGTTGATTCGAGCGATTGCACGAGGCGAAACCTTGGTTCTGATGCACAGATTCCATTTCGAGGAGATGTTAAGAGCAGTGGAGAAGTATAAGGTCATGTACATCCCGGTTTCTCCGCCGCTGGTGGTGGCGTTGGCTAAGTCGGAGCTGGCGGCGAAGTACGACCTCAGTTCTCTTCAAATTTTGGGATGCGGCGGCGCACCCCTTGCGAAAGAAATCATCGACAAATTCCATGAGAAGTTCCCCAACGTGGAAATTGTACAGGTTAGCAAGAAACACTTTTCCTCCGTGATAGACCTCGTTTCTTCCTCCGATCATGTGCGTATCTGATGAACATTCCATCCTATCAATGGCCAAATTCTAATCTACTTTTTCTTTTTTTATTATAAAAAAAAATTTGAACCTAAACTTTCCTACTTATGTGTTCTTACCACCGCCCTTAAATTTTGGCAAAAGCTTTCGATATTTGGGCAATTACAGAAAAAAGTCAAATGTTCAATCCAACCTATAAAAAAATGCGCAAACCATCCGCAAATTATAAGGGATCCAACTGTTGGCAATTATATCCAATCATTTATGGAGTTATAGCTGGTTATTATTTATGGGTGGTTTATACCATTTTTCTTTATGGTGTTTCTAGTTGAAGTCTGTACAGTGTTAGGTCTACATTTGAAGACTAAATAAGTAACTTTAAATGAACGTCCAAAAATTTATAATCAAATACTAAAATAGATTCTGTAGAAGCTCAATTTCTGAAAGTACAAGATTGAGAATGGAAAAAAGGGTTCAAACATCTAAAATGATAAAAAGAAGAAGAGAGAATGATAAATGCTTTGTTTTCTTGACTAGGGATATGGCCTGACAGAGAGTACAGCAGGGGCATCGAGGACTCTGGGGCCTGAGGAATCCAATAATACAAGTTCAGTAGGTCGCTTATCTGAAAGTATGGAAGCCAAGATAGTGGATCCTGCGTCTGGAGAGGCTTTACCTCCTGGTCACAGAGGAGAGCTTTGGCTGCGAGGGCCAGGAATCATGAAAGGTTAGCAATAATCTGTTCATGTTTTTCTCTTCCATCATATTTAATTCGGGTACTCGAGTTTTAATCTGATTCACGAAGCCTAACAACTGAATTGTTATTATGAAATATAGGAGGAGATGACATTGCATATAGTTGAACTTTGGGGTCCCATTTAACTTCTGTGGACCCAAATGAATCATTTAATATATGTTCAACAATATCATATTATCGCTTGCTATTGAATTGGTGATTACCATATACGAATGCTACATTAATAACCATTATCTTGAATTTAAGTAGCCCCTCCCCTTAGCTGTCTTGTTGCGGTAGGGAGGCAGTTTAAGAAAGAACATGCTACGCCTGGCCCCCTTTTTCAGTTTACGTGATTATGATGAAGGGCTTTGTTTGACATTAGGCTGCCTGGCTAAAAAAAGCCACTAGAATTGGTTCTTGTCTGATGAACAGATCATCAAATGGTGTTTGATGTAGGTTATGTTGGAGATGACAAGGCAGCTGCTGAAACCTTGCATCCGGAGGGATGGCTAAAGACTGGTGATCTTTGCTGTTTTGATTCTGATGGATACCTCTACATTGTTGACAGATTAAAAGAATTGATCAAGTACAAAGCTTATCAGGTGAGCCATTTAAGAAGTCTCGTGTCTTCGACAAGCTACGTTTATCTACAGCCATTGTTCTCTTAGTACCTCTTTAGTGATTGAAATCCTTTCTTTGAACCAAATTCCAGGTCCCTCCTGCTGAACTGGAACATTTGCTCCAATCCAACCCCGAGATCATTGACGCTGCTGTGATACCGTATGAATCTCTTCTTTTCTGTATAGTTGACTGTTGAAAACTTGTCAATGCTGAGTTTTTTACATTCACTGCAAGCAAATCTTCCTGATGATATTTTTTACTCCTGTCGAGCAGCTATCCTGATGAAGAAGCTGGAGAGATTCCTATGGCTTATGTGGTTAGAAAGCCTGGAAGCAATATCACTGAGGCCCAAGTCATTGATTTCATTGCAAAACAGGCATGTTTCTCCATCACTTAACGAAAGTTAAAATGGGCATTGCACATTAGAGCACTGCTGATCATGGCTCCTCTGAAATTTCCAAGGTCTTATTACATTTGAACTGGACAATTTTCATCTTGCAGGTTGCACCGTACAAGAAAATTCGACGAGTGTCTTTTATCAACGCAATCCCGAAATCGCCTTCAGGGAAGATTCTTAGGAGGGAGCTTGTCAAACATGCCCTCTCTCAAGGTTCTAATAAATTGTAAGAAAGAAAGGGCCATGAAAACGTATACAGTTTGGCTTTGGCACCTCAGAAACTGGGCAGCTTTACAATCGTATTTCCAAGCCCCCATTCATTTGCAGCCTGCCGCACTGCAAAACGATAGCACAAGGCCAAAATTTCTTCCTTGCATTGTCGTGTTGGAAATGTCTTGTGCAGCTGCAAGCTGAATGATTGATTATTGTTTTAATTTAATGAACTGTCTGATTCTAGAAAAAAAGTATTTGATCTGAACTTTTTCTGATATTCGTTTGTGTATATATAAAGAACTATATCAGAACAGAACACGCTCAATTTGGGAGCCCTCTTGATCTTATTCTGTTTACTTTAGCTAATATTGATTCAAATTCACAGCCAAAGCTCTGTGGAAATGGCGGCCAACCCACCATCATATCATCATCTTCATCAACAACTCTGGAGAACAGCATCCACGATCTCCTGCATGGCCCATCTTCACACATATTAAAATTCTCCAAAAAGAGACATGTTTCAGCCTAATTTCTCAGGTACAGTGTTTGATAACTTCTTATTTACAGTCCATGAATTCAGATTTTCCTTCTAAAACCCTTGGTTTTCTTTATGTTGCAGCGCCGGAAAAATTCAATTTTGGAGCTCCTGCCGGCGGTGGCTTCCATCTTTCAAGGTGAATTTCTTCTGTAAATGTTGGTCTTGATTCCGACCAATTCAGCCAAAAAAACAACCCCAAATAAAGAAGACACCTCTGTTATTGTGTTTCCATATTATTTGATCTTCATTTTAAGTTTCGTCTATATATTAGAAAATTCTAATATTTATTTATTTTTCGTTTACATATGACTCTTATATAATTTTTAGACCTTGCATCATTCTTGGTGAATGAAGTATTATATTGTCTAACTACCACGGGACCGAAATAACCCATTGATACCAAAAATCAATCCCGTAGATGTAAGGTTGGGATGATCAGTGACAGATCTATGATTTTCATTCAGCAGTACAATACACATTAACGTGATTGCATCGTCATAATATTATCTACAATAGCTATTCTATTGCAATAGATAAAATCAATGACTTGACTTAAACAATAGATGTAAAGAACTAAAAGTAAAAGTCTAAAAAGAATTAGAATCTTATTTGTCAACTGTATATTGGCAAGAATTAAACTTAGAATCACGCAGATGATATATATTAATAGAATTGCAAATAGCCAATAGACCGGACTCTAATTTGTGATTAAATATGCAAATTGTATTATACTTCTATTACTTCAAGGGGGCACATGCCCCTTGGCTCCGACGTGGATTCACCCATGAGGATGATGGGTTGAGAGGTACTCTATGAATAGGGTTGGAAATGAATAGTCTCCAACACATTATGGTATGTGATTAAGCTATAGTAGATCTGTATATCTTGAAAGAGAAATAATCGTCTTACTTATAGGAATATGATAATGATGACTTTTTTAATATTCGAGCCCACCTCATCAGAGGCTGATTTAGTGATTGGATTGAGTTAAGGTGTATAACTTTATTTGATCTTATTGTCGAGGTGAGGTCCACACCTCATCAGAACGAATGAAGACATCTATAGCTCGAACTTCTTGACGTATGAAGGTTTGATCACTCCTGAAAGGTGGTGATTATCTATGAGTCGACTTACTCATTTTCTCAAACAAATACCTTGTGAGCATGTAAGCTCCCATTGTACGCTCATTCGTGACTATTATTATTGAGACAAAATTTTTGGTGGGACTTGGGAGTGCTTTTTCCAATTGTGAAAATGAGGAGTTTTTTCTTTCTTTATTTTCCTTCTTTTTCTTTTATTTTCATCTTTTAAGATGGAAAATATTTAGGTAAGAATCTATTTTTATGTAAAAACGAACATAGTTAACGGTAATGGAGATATATCTCCAACTCACCTCCACATATTTTTACATTAAATACTTAAAGGATGTTTGACAATTCATTATTCTTTTTAACCTTCTCTATTTTTACTACGTTTCTCTTTGAGTTGTCAGACATCTCACATAGTACTTTCCCTAATAAGAATATAGCATTATAAATGCTTGATGTAGAAACTTTGGGACGATTCTGTAATTTCATTGTTAATTCAATGTTCCGTTAATAATGACTCTTTTGGTGAATTGAACAGAGTCCATAGTAAAAGACTGTTTGATTGGCGGCGCATTACCTTCTTCCATGGCTGATCGGAATCCAAACTTCACCGCCGCCCATTCTGTTGATCCCCGAAGCGGTTTCTGCCCTCAAACCAAGATTTTCCACAGCCTCCGACCACCACTCTCACTTCCACCCATTCCTCAGCCTCTTTCCGTTATCGAACACGCCCTCACTCTCCTCCAATCATCCCCTCCTCCCGCAAACACCTCCGTTCTCGTCGACTCCAACTCCGGCGTCCGTGTCTCATACTCTCTTTTCATCCGCCAAATCCGAAACCTCGCCTCTAATCTTCAAGCTCTCACCTCCCTCTCCAATGGTCAAGTGGCTTTCATTCTTGCACCTACTTCTCTGCAGGTCCCTGTGTTGTTGTTCGCTCTCTTGTCTCTCGGTGTCACTATCTCTCCAGCTAACCCTACTGGTTCTCACTCCGAGATTGCTCACCAGGTTCGACTCAGTAAACCGGTCATTGCCTTCGCTACGTCCTCGACGGCGCCCAAGCTCCCGAGGGAGCTTGCCAAGATTCTGATAGATTCGCCGGAGTTCTTCTCTATGATTATCGAAAGCAAGCGATCGGGTGGAGTTGATGATGGCGTCGCCCAGGTCAAAACCAATCAATCCGATTCGGCGGCGATTCTGTACTCGTCTGGCACTACAGGGCAAGTGAAAGGCGTATTACTGACTCACCGGAATTTGGTTGCGGCAAACGCTGTGGCTCATGGTTTCCAGTTGATGGTCAGCTCAAAAGAGAAGGAGCGACATCCTGTCTTCTTGTGTCTGTTACCTCTGTTCCATGTTTTCGGATTCATCATGTTGATTCGAGCAATTTCACGAGGCGATACTGTGGTTCTGATGCAGAAATTCGACTTCGGGGGGATGTTAAGAGCTGTGGAGAAGTATATGGTCACGTACATATCGGTTGCTCCGCCGCTCGTGGTGGCGTTGGCCAAGTCTGAGCTGAAGGTGAAGTACGACCTCAGTTCTCTTCGAATTTTGGGATGCGGCGGCGCTCCTCTTGGGAGAGAAATCATCGAGAAATTCCATGAGAAGTTCCCCAACGTAGAAATTACACAGGTTAGCAAGAAACACTTTTATAGACCTCGTTCCTTCCTCCAATCATGTGTATTCGACGAATACTCCATCCTATCCATGATCAATTTCGAATCTATTCTTTCTTTTTTATTATTAAAAAAATGAACCTAAACTTTCTTACTTATATGTTCTTATCAACGATGCCCTTAAATTTTGCGCTAATTTTTAACATAGCCCTTGTTTGCATCTTGAAAAAAATTGTACAAATCACCTCCAAATTATAGGAGAGGTTACAATTATACTGACAAGACGTATGGAATGGTTGGGTTATAGTTTATGGGTGGTTTTTACCATTCTTCTTTATATCGTTTTCAATATAAGTCTGTATAATGCTAGGTGTATCAATATTGTAAGTCTGATATGTAATTTAGAAAATAAGTAACTTTAGGTGAACGTCCAAAAATTTATCAACAAATACTGAAATAGATCCTATAGATGCCCAAATATCTGAAAGTACAAGAATGAGAATGGAAAAAGGGGTTCATACATTTCAAATGATAATAAGAAAAACAAAGAATGATGAATGGTTTTGTTCTCTTGACTAGGGATATGGCTTGACAGAGAGTACAGCAGGCGCATCAAGGACTTTGGGGTCTGAGGAATCCAGTAACACAAGTTCAGTAGGTCGCCTATGTGAAAGTATGGAAGCCAAGATAGTGGATCCTGCATCTGGAGAGGCCTTATCTCCTGGCCACAAAGGAGAGCTTTGGCTGCGAGGACCAGGAATCATGAAAGGTTAGCAATAATCTGAGTTTGTCTCTAGTCCATCATATTTAATTCTTGTAAACACTCTATATGTCGGGACTCAAGTTTTGATCTGATTCACGAAGCCTAAAAACTGTTATGAAATCAAGGATAAGATGACATTGCATATATTTGAACTTTGGCGATTTAACTTCCATGTTAAGAACTTTTGTGGACCCAAATGGATCGTTTAATAATATATGTTAAACAGTATAACTTGCTTCCTATATATGTATGCTAGATTAGTAACCATTATATATCTTGGATTTAAGTAAGGTCCCTCCCCTTATATGCCTTGTGGTAGGGAGGCAGTTTATGAAAGAACATGCTACGCTGGGCCCCCTTTTTCAGTATATGAGATCATGATGAAAAGGCTTTGTTTGAGATTAGGCTGCCTGGCTTAAAAAGCCATTAGAATTGGTTCTTGTCTGATGAACCGATCATCAAAATGGTGTTTGTTGCAGGTTATGTTGGAGATGACAAGGCAACTGCTGAAACCTTGCATCCGGAGGGATGGCTAAGGACTGGTGATCTTTGCTATTTTGATTCTGATGGATTCCTCTACATTGTTGACAGATTAAAAGAATTGATCAAGTACAAGGCTTATCAGGTGACTTCTTTAAGCTGAGCCATTTAAGAAGTCTCGAGTCTTCGACAAGCTACGATTACAAATGTCAACTGTCATTGTTCTCTTAGTACCTCTTTAGTAATTGAAATCCTTTCTTTGAAACAAATTCCAGGTCCCTCCTGCTGAACTGGAACATTTGCTCCAATCCAACCCCGAGATCGTTGACGCTGCTGTGATACCGTATGGATCTCTTCTCCTCTCTTCTGTATAGTAGACTGTTGAAAACTTTTCAATGCTGAGTTTTTTACATTCATTGCAAGCAAATCTTCCTGATGATATTTTTACTCCTGTTGAGCAGCTATCCTGATGAAGAAGCTGGAGAGATTCCTATGGCTTATGTGGTTAGAAAGCCTGGAAGCAATATCACTGAGGCCCAAGTCATTGATTTCGTTGCAAAACAGGCATGTTTCTCCAGCCCTCAAGGAAACTTGAAATGGACATGCACATTGGATGCTGGTCATGGATCCTCTGCTATTCTCCAAGTCTTCTGATATTCAAACTGGTCTATTTTCATCTTGCAGGTTGCACCATACAAAAAAATTCGGCGAGCGTCTTTTATCAACGCAGTCCCAAAATCACCTTCAGGGAAGATTCTTAGGAGGGAGCTTGTCAAACATGCCCTCTCTCATGGTTCTCATAAGTTGTAAGAAAGAAAGGGCCATGAAAATTTATACAGCTTGGCTTTGGCACATCAGAAACTGGGCAGCTTTACAATTGTACTTCCGAGCCCTCGTTCTATCTCGACCATTTCAGAAGCATTTTCATTTGCAGCCTGCCGCACTGCAAAAAGATAACACAAGGCTAAACTTTCTACCTGGCCTTTTGATGTTGGAAATGTCTTATGTAGCTGAAGCTGAATGATTGTTGTCTTTATTTGAAGAACTATGTCTGATTCTGAATAAACATCCTTCACGAGAATAAATCAGAAGTCTTTGATCTGAAAATTTTCTTATAATTAATTTGCACATATTCAACCAGCTGATGCAGGAGGAGTGGTCATAGCGCTTAAACCACTTCCTCAGACTCTTTGGATTCTGCTGCTTTGAGCCTCTCACTTCCGGTGGGTTTCGTGGGTGGTGATTGGAGCTTCCAGTTCTGGTCCCTGAATCTTCCATGGCGGCGTTGTCTCTGCTCAGAACATGTTCAAGTTAGGATCCAGTCTTCAACTCTGTTCACCGCCAAAGCTTTGAGATGATGTAACGCGGAAACGGCCGCCAACCCACCAAATCACCATCTTCATCTACAACTCTGGAGAACAGCATCAATCTCTTGCATGACCCATTCGACTCCAGTTAAATTATGGCTCGCTTATTTCACGGGTACAGTGTTTGATAACGCCTTACAAATCCATTAATTTCCTTCTGAATTTCACCCATGGTTTTCTTCCTCTTGCAGAACAGCGTCGGAATTCATTCTAAGAGCTCCTTGCTGGCGGTGGTTTCCATCTCTCTCTGATGGTGAATTTCTTCTGTAAATGTAAGTCTCGATTCCGATCTCCCTCTTCAAGCCACTCTCACCGTGAGGAGCGCACTACCCCCTTGCTGAATCAACTTCACCCAAACCTGAGATATTTTACGTCCAAAGGTTTATATAGAAGGCTACTAAATTTCATGGGAAATTAATTGAAAGGAGTTAGCATTCGAGAAAAAGTTGATTCATGTTCGAGTTTAGAGCCAAATGACCCGTTTCAAATTGGAGCAAGTTATCGAAATTTTAGAAGTAAACATTCCAAGATAATCTGGAACTAGTTGTTCATGGAAAGAGGCTCGAGGTTTGGAGTCATTCATGCAAAGAGTTTAATCAAAACACGGTCTATTATGAACAAGAAAACTAATTTCCTTATAGGAGGATGCAATCTGAACAAAGAGATAACTTGAATCCTCTTTGAACTGACACTGTCAATGAGTAAGGGAATATGGCAATTGGGATGACAGGACCTTATATGAAACCAAACTACTAAACAAGACAAAAAAATGCCTCGTCCGACGTCACTCACTAGCATATATACTTAATTCCCCTGCTGCAAATGCTATATACAAACAAACTAATCAAGTGGGCCCCTCTCTAGCACTGTTAAGTTTGGCCCTTGCATTATTTCAATAACTCATAGATATCAAAATCAATCTCATGAATTTGTTATTATTTGGACTAGAATCCTTTACCGCTGTTTCGGTGTTTTTATGAGTTAAAAAGTAAAAGTTGTTGGTTGGAGTATTTTTTGCAAGCAAATTTCCCTGATGATATTTTTACTTCTGTTGAGCAGCTATCCCGATCATGAAGCAGGAGAAATTTGTATGGCTTTTGTGGTTAGAAAGCCTAGAAGCAATATCACAGAGGCTTGAGTCATTGATTTCATTGCAAAACAGGCATGTTTCTCCATCTCTCAAGGAAACTTGAAATGGGTATTGTGCGGTCATGGCTTGTCTGCTATTTTCCAAGTCTTCTTCATTCAAATCGGACCATATTCATCTTGCAGGTTACTCCATACGAGAAAATCCGGCGCAACGCTATATCCCTAAATCGCCTTCAGGGGAGCTTGTCAAACATGCTCTCTCTCACGGTTCCAATAAGTTGTAAGAAATAATGCCATGAACAGGGCTTATAGTTCGGGACCTCAGAAAGTGGGCAGCTTTACAACCTACCGCACTGCCAAAAGACAACATAAGGGCTGGGTTCCTTGACATTTTGGCATGCGTATTATCTTCATTTAGAAGCCCGCCTAATGTTTCTACATGATTGTTGTTCTATGATTTGAAGAAGTGTCTGAATTCTGCATGAACTTCCTTCACGAAAATGAACCGACTCTTTGAGCTGAAGATTTTCCGATATTAGTTTTGTGTATATAATACATCCAACTTCCTCAGACTCTTCGGATTCCGCTGCTCTGTGGTGGCGATTGGTAGCTTCCAATTCTGTTCCCTGAATCTCCCATGGGCCATGGCGGCGTTGACTCTCTCAGAATATGTTCAAATTGGGAGCCACTCTTAAAACTTTTTTCTGTTTACTTCAGCTGATATTAATTCAAATTCACCGCCAAAATTTGAGATGACCCCACGTGGAGATGGTTGCAAACCACCACATCATCATCTTCATCTTCATCTAGTCTATTGCAGTTCCCAAAGTTGGCACGGAAACCGATAGGTGATTGATTGGGCTGTTATCCTTCTTGCGTAATACGGGATTGTCTCACAGTGGATTACGCTATGTACCTCCATGACGATAATCTTCTACGTTCCTATCTTACCCAAAAGAGATTCCCAATTGTGCTGCATATTTATACCAACACCATAGCTCTACAAAGGTGCACCGCATAGTTTTCACTTGAATAAGAAGAAGAAGAAGAAGATGGGATCGCTTGGAATGTATTCTGAACCAACGAGGAAGACTAGCAGAGGCTATGACGTTCCAGAGGGAGTAGATATTCGGGGGCGTTACGATGAAGAATTTGCCAAGATCCTTAACAAGGAAGCCCTGCTATTTGTGGCTGATTTGCAGAGGACTTTCAGAAACCATATCAGGTATTCGATGGAATGCCGCAGAGAAGCCAAGAGGAGATATAATGAAGGGGCGTTGCCTGGGTTTGATCCGGCGACCAAATATATAAGGGAATCGGAGTGGACATGTGCATCAGTCCCGCCGGCAGTTGCTGACCGGAGGGTGGAGATCACCGGACCTGTGGAGCGGAAGATGATCATCAACGCACTCAATTCTGGAGCCAAAGTTTTCATGGTCCGTTCTCTCTTCCTTTCTCTACTCAAGAATTTGTTTTCGTTCCTTGGGAGAATGTAATTTGATGATCTGACAAAAACATATTAAATCAATCAACTGTTGGAAAACATCAAAACAGGCGGACTTTGAAGATGCACTGTCACCGAACTGGGAGAATCTGATGAGGGGGCAAATTAATCTGAAGGATGCAGTAGATGGGACTATAAGCTTCCATGATAAAGCCAGGAACAGGGTTTATAAGCTGAATGATCAGACGGCCAAGCTCTTCGTCCGCCCTCGAGGTTGGCACTTGCCTGAGGCTCACATATTCATCGACGGCGAGCCTGCCACTGGTTGTCTTGTGGACTTTGGGCTCTACTTTTACCACAACCATGCCAATTTCCGGCGCTCTCAAGGTCAAGGCTCTGGCCCTTTCTTCTATCTCCCCAAAATGGAGCACTCCAGGTAAAAGTAGAACTATCATTTTAACCATCCAAATCTTCTTTTATAATCAATTGGGCATGTCGTTTGAGAAATTGAATTCTGTTTGGTGTTTGCAATGAGAATCTCTCTTAGGTGATGCGTAAAGATCTGGTAGAGATTGATAATTCATTAGGAAAGCAGGTTAGATAGATAGCAATATGTAGAGAATGAAAACCCATGGTTAGAGGAGATTGAGAGCAAGTACAAAAGAGGAGAGTTTTAGAATTGAGGCTACAGAATTTGAAACGAAATAAAATCTTGATGTGCTTATTGAAAAATATTATTGGCCCGATCCCTTTGTTATCATCAGAAACTTCCAAACAAAAAAAATCTCTTTACAAGTCACATTGAGGGCTTTTTATCTTCGGTCATAATAGATTCCGGTGATCACATTATAACATCATTACAAGCTATGTGACATGTCATCTGCGATTCTGCAGGGAAGCTAAAATATGGAACAGTGTATTTGAGAGGGCAGAGAATATTGCGGGGATAGAGAGGGGCAGTATCAGGGCCACTGTGCTAATTGAAACACTTCCAGCAGTGTTTCAAATGGATGAAATACTCTATGAGCTGAGGGATCACTCTGTGGGATTAAACTGCGGTAGATGGGATTACATATTCAGCTATGTCAAGACCTTTCAGGCTCACCCAGATCGCCTCTTACCCGACAGGATTCTAGTTGGCATGACTCAACACTTCATGAGGAGTTATTCTGATCTCCTTATCAGGACTTGTCACAGGCGTGGTGTGCACGCCATGGGAGGCATGGTATGTATAAATGCACAATCTCACATCCAATTCGAAAGATAAATTAGCATGCTACCACCTTTCTAGCTCTTAAAAACCGGTACTTCACATCTAGAGTATTGACAGTAGCATTTTACAGGCTGCTCAAATTCCAATCAGAGATGATCCAAAGGCAAATGAGGCAGCGCTGGAGCTAGTAAGGAAGGACAAATTGAGAGAAGTAAAGGCAGGACATGATGGAACATGGGCAGCACACCCAGGACTGATCCCAGCTTGCATGGAAGTGTTCACCAACAACATGGGGAATGCCCCCAACCAGATTCGATCTGCGAGACGAGAAGATGCTGCAAACCTGACTGAAGAAGACCTCTTACAACGACCAAGGGGTGTCCGCACAATGGAAGGGCTCCGCTTGAACACCCGAGTCGGGATTCAGTACTTGGCAGCATGGCTGACTGGGACTGGCTCTGTGCCTCTCTACAACCTTATGGAAGATGCAGCCACAGCAGAGATCAGCAGAGTTCAAAACTGGCAATGGCTGAAGTATGGAGTGGAGTTGGATGGAGATGGCCTTGGTGTGAGAGTGAACAAGGAACTGTTTGGAAGAGTTGTGGAAGAAGAGATGGATAGGATTGAAAGAGAAGTTGGGAAAGAGAAATTCAGAAGGGGAATGTTCAAAGAGGCTGGCAAAATGTTCACAAGGCAATGCACAGCTCCAAGTTTAGATGATTTTCTGACCTTAGATGCCTACAACCGCATTGTGCTTCATCATCCCAGGGAATTGTCCAGGCTCTGAAAGCCACAACTTCAACAAACCACCTTCTTTCGACGTCATCCATATAACCAATAAACGAGTTATTTTGCTTCCTTTCTCTTCTCGTCGATCGGGTGAGAATACCGTATTTGTACTGTAAGACTTTGTTCTTTTGTCTATTTCTTTTCAGGTTGTGTGGTTTTTTGAAGATATTTAAGCAATTGTAAGCAAATTTCGACTTTCTATAATCCTATAGTTTGCTGTTTGCTTATTTGATGCATGGGAAGTCCTCTGGCTTGCTAATCTCTCTCTCTCACACAAGATAATAATCCAAGTCTTTTAAGCTAGCAAGCAATTGAGTGTACAAAGATAAGAGTTCTTTACAACAAGATTCACACAGAGATGAAAACTGACATGATTTAGAAGGATAAGAGTATCCCAAAAATATTGTTAAATTAAGGTTATTTTTAATGGATAGCCAAAATATTTGTCAAAATGTAGCAATTAATTTTTTAGTTTTACAAATATGGCAAAATTTTTAAAATTAGATTTTTGTTTTCTTTCTTATTTGAATTTTGTTGTCGTTATTAATATACTTCATATTATGTATATAAGTGATAAATCTTTTTACGGTCAAAGATTTTGGTTCAAGTAATATGGTAGTTTTCTTATTTATATATTAAATATATATCATTGATATACTTCGTTTTAGGTATATCATTTATATAACTGATATACATAATATGAACTATATCAGTCGCACTAAATATATTAATGATATATTTCAATATTTGGTATATTATTGATAAATTTTCTTTGCGTTGAAAATTTTGGTTTAAGTAATATTGTAGGCTTCTTATTATTGATTGATCAAGTATATCAGTGAATATACTTCATTTTACATTAATATATAATTGATATATTTGTTATTAGGTATAACTGATATAGCGAATTTAAAATATATTACTGACATAACTGATATACCTAATATGAAATATGTATATGTATGTATTATATATATATAGAATAAGTCATACCAAATATATCAGTGATGTATATCGTCGATATATCACTAATATAACTAATATACATAATATGAAATTTAACCATTATATTTGATACTAGGTGTATATCAATCGAAGAAGGGTATCATCAACTTTTCTATTTTTTTTATTTGGATTGGACCTTTTCCTTTGCTATATTTACGATTAAGAAAAACAAAAATATATATTCGCTATTAAGAATTAATTTTTTGCTATATCCGCAAGCGACCCTTAAATTAATCGGAAGAAGCTTAGTAGTAAGGGTTAGTTAAATTAATTAGAAAAAGCTTACTGATAAGGTTTGGCTAAATTTAGGGTTTAAGATTAGAAGGTAACTATATTTAGATTAGGGTTGGCTCACTTTGAGAAAAGAGACTGTTTATGCAGAGATGTGCACCTGATTGTAGCTCGAACTCGGCCTCCGGACCGACCGGAACACTTGGGCGGACCTGCACAAAAAGGTGAGCACTCCGACGATCAAGTCAGTATAGGTCGGATTCCAAGTTTAGTTCGGAGCCAGAAATCATCGTACCTGATCGTGTAGTGAAGTCCTCTACTTATGGGTGGTAGTCCCGCTAATCTCGCGACTGTTACATTCGGTAATCTCGGGGCCGTCGGTTACACCCGGTAATCTCGGGACCGACGGTTACGCCCGATAATCACGCTGCAGACAGTTGCTCATCTCGGTCCCTACCGAGCTCCCCGGTAGGTCAGACCTAGGCCAGGCTCACCTCGGCCCTCATACTTAGCATTGTCGGCGTTGGTGGCGGCCATCTCGGCTATCCGAGCTGGGCATGACTCATGAGCCATCTTGGAGCGTCAATGGGGGTCCTCCACGTGTCCAGGGTATTCCCCTCCCCAAACATTGGCCCCCTCTCGGTCTGGTTCGATCTCGACCTGGCAGAGAAGTTCATTCGACTTGCTTTGGACACGTGGCGACTTCCTATTCGTGGGAAAATACAACCGTCGCGGAAGATTTATCGTCGGAATATTCAAATATTCCGACGCTTC